TACCAATAAGCGTAATCAAAACGGCAACACCAACCGAAACACCAATACTAATGTGAGTGGTTTGCAAAATATCTTGTGTTACTACAATGACATACATATCCCATTTGATATTTTCAAATTCGTAAACAACATGTCGCACAAGATAATCAACACCATTTGAGGAAATTGAAGTACCTTTTGGTAGCTTACTGATATCACCAATAGTTGAATTGATATCTTTCATTAACTTGCCTGCATTTCTAGCCGAAATATCAAAAATACTCAATCTTGACTTTTCATCAAATGTTGTACAATTGATACTGCCAGCTATTACATAGTCGTTTGAGCTTTCTTTGATAATTACAAAACCTTGGTCGAAGACTTGGACCTTCTTCTCAAGAAAATCACTAATACCAGAAAGTGGCTTGACAATTCTTGCAATACCTTTCAAATGTTTGGTTCCTTGAGCGAATAATTGTTGGTCATACACCTTGGCACCAAATGAAATGGACAAGGTTCCGTTTGTAACAATGTAAGGATAACTGAAAGCTCCCTCCTTCCCAATTCTAGCTGCTTCACTCACAGCAACATAGTAAAAGTCCTTCTTTGCCACATTGTAAGGAGTATAATCAATAGTTTCATTTAACACAAGAAGAGTACCATTCAACAAATAGGTATCACGAATTGAGCCAATGAAACCAGGAGGTTGATAAGAGTAGACAATTTCCTGTTTACCTTGTTTTCCAATTCCTATACCATCTGCCATCGTCATGCCAGTATTTTTCATTTCGTTCAAAACCGAGTCAATATAAACACTCATCTTTTCTTCAAGCAAACCAAGAACATTTTCAGTTAGTTCATCCACTGATTGATTCATCAATACAAATACAGAGACATAGATAGAAACAGAACACAACAAGACAAGCATTATCATTGAGACAATTATAAATGTCTTTAAAGAGCAACAAGTTGTTTTCTTTCCAGTGCCAAAGAAGGACCCATCATCAGAGAAAGATGCAATACTCTGGTCCTCCTTATGATTTTCTATAACACTTGCAGTGGTGGGTGTTATCTTCATGTGTTTTTTAAAAGAATTGTTTTCATCAAATGTTTTAAAAAGTTGTAGTTTATGCACGAATCTGAACCTAAAGTCCAAAAGAACTTATGCACATTAGAATAATGCGTCTTTCGAAACTATCTCTTTCAGCACAAATAACAGCGATCTAACACTGTCCCACTTGGCAGAGATTTAGCTCAAGAACAATAACAGGCATTGAATTTTGGCGCCTTTTTTCTGTACAATTATAGCTAAATTGTCAGTTCAATTGATACACCCAACTATGCCTGGATAATCCTTTAGTATGTACTGGTTGTCGAGAATGTCTAAAATCACTTTTTTTCCTCTACCTCAATGATCAGGAAAGGGTTCATGATTGGATTTTGATAAAATTTGTTTAAATTTCTTCTGAGATTGAGGAAAAGCCAATGAAACCCATATCTAGTGTGAGTAAATTCATGCACTTTTTAGAGAAGTGAAGGCCAAGAAATAGTGTCTTCTTTTCATACGCCCAAGGAAGATGATCTATGTTATTTACAAGAAAGAATCTGACAATTATTAGATTTTGAACTCAAATTAGTTTAGAATAGGTTTAATTTTGTCTAATGAGTGGAAAAGTTGATTCCAAACAACAACAAATGAAAAGTTTATTGAAGGAACGATTTGAATTGCGTTTGGTTTCTTACTTCTAAATCAAATGAAAGATCTATTGTAGGATCCAGAATGCTTTCAATCGTTGCTATGAAATATTGTGTAGATTCCAACGAGCAATCCAGCATTGTACGTATATATGGCACAACACGAACAATCAGTGGATGATTAATTTTCTCCATAATCTTCTTTGAATAATCCAACAAGTTGTCACTAAGCATGGAGTAATTCTTATGAACAAAGTGATCAACAAAAATGCAAAATGATATTGCAAGTAAATATCTATCATGAGATGGTGTTTGATAATAGTTTGTATTGTTTGGTGTATAATCATGTTTGACCTTAACATGTACATCACGTAATCCTTTCATTGCATTTTGACAATTATTGAAATCTATTTATACTGCAGTGAAGCCACCATTGTGAGCTTCTAAACATTATATTGTCCAAACAGCTCTGTGTTGAACCAATTTCTCTCTAACATTTTTATGTTCTGTTTCCCCTCACGTAACCTTACTATTCAGTAGAATGTTTGTTAAGGTTGTGCATGGCATTTTTTTTAAGATGAATTGATTTTAAAAATAAAGGAATGGTGGCTGAATGTTTTATGGTATTAAGATGAAGAGATGAAACACAAAATTCACCTGTGATATATTCCATTATCAGAAGGTGTCGGTGAACTTGTTTAAATTGGACAAGATGTCACTCCATACAAGGTTGGAGAATGTGTTGTTGGAACGAACTTCTTTGAAAATTGGCGAGATGGTGAAGTTACAGACCATGCAGCCACATTTCATTTTTTAGAAGAGGAAATGTCAGGATCCAATGTTAAGGAAATCTCATGGATTGGTTCTTAGAGAATTAATGGAAATCTGAATGCTCCAGAAACAACTCCACTTTCACTGAAATAGATACCATGACATGTAGAAACTCTATGTAGCATATGATATCAATTTCATGAATTTTGGTAAAGATGTTGAGATGTCAATTCCACCATTTACTATAGAC